GTGTCATTGGCTTTGTGGAGTTTGTTTTAAAATTCCTGCTCTTCGCAAACAGTGCCGTCATAGTAGAGGTTCTGACCCTGTGGCGCCCCCTGATTGTGGGGATGGCATTGTCCGTTTTGTTCTTTATGATATTCCCAAGCCAGTACCCCATTGTTATGCTGATCTTATTTTTGCTCGGGGCTTTTCGCATGATCCTCCGTGTGGTTTCGATGTGGCCCTACTTGGTAGTTTATTTTCTAAGGGGCTTCGCACTGTGAAATTTATACCTCCTAAGTGCCGGTTGGGGTTTTCTCGTGTTTTGATAGGCGCTCTCGATAAGGTCATTTGTAAGCCAGATGATCTCTCTTGCTGGGTTAGTTTGCTTGTTTTGCCAATTTGTATCCTCAGGACCTTTCGCCCCCGAAGTAGTCTTAAGTGTAAGTCTGGTACTAAACGTCAAATGCAAGAAAAGAGCATTACCACTGCTATTTGGTCATGGGGTGAACCTGGGGGGGCGATGTTACTGGTTAGAGAAACTTTGGTCGAGCCTTCTCCCCCTTTGGTTGGTGTTGGTGATGATGACTTGGATTCGGTCGAGAGTAGTCTGCGCCAGTGTAAGATAAAGATATGTGATGGCCATTATACTGCAGCGGTTAGGGTCCTCTCTTCCTTTGGCGTTGCCCCTTATACAGATGCCACACTTGAGGAGTTGCAGGCAAAGCACCCCTTTTCACCTCTTCCCTCATTGCCTCGTTTAGATATGGATTGTGAGCCCCTCACAGCCTCCACCCGCGTTGTTCTTGATAGCATTAGGAGTTTCCCACGTGGTACATCTTGTGGACGTGATGGATTTCGTGCACAACACTTTATTGATTACTTGAGTGGGGCTGCTGCTGCCATTTCGGATGAGTTGATCTCCTCTATCACGCATGTGGTTAACCTCTTTCTTGGTGAGGAATGTCCATAGGTGCTCGGTGAGTATATTGCTAGTGTCTCACTCACTCCGCTTGTTAAACCTGGTGGTGGTATTCGATCTATTGCTGTGGGTACCATTTGGAGGCGCCTAGTCTCTAAGGTTGGTGTTCTTCTGATTGGTCCTTCTTTGCGTTCTTATTTTGATGGTCTGCAATTTGGTGTTGGGGTGTCTAGTGGAGGAGAAGCAATTCTTCATGCTTTGAATCGTTTAGTTGAGGCTCGTGGAGATACAGTAGGCTTATCCATGCTGCTGGTAGATTTCAAGAATGCTTTTAACTTGGTAGATCGTGAGGCTATGCTGCAAGAGGTACTTTCTCGCTGCCCTTCTCTCTCGCGATGGGTTGAGTTCTGCTACTCCAGCCCTGCCAGGTTGTATTTTGGGGAGCACACCTTAAGATCCTGCCAAGGGGTCTAGCAGGGTGACCCCCTTGGCCCACTACTTTTTGCCTTAGCGCTGCATCTTTTGGTCCGTAAGATTCAAGACACCTTTGACTTGTCCCTACAGGCTTGGTATTTGGATGATGGTACGATTGTGGGTGACACCCTGGTTGTGGGTAAGGTTCTTCAGTTGATCATGGAGGATGGTCCTCAGTTTGGTTTACATCTTAATGTTGATAAAACTGAGGTTTTCTGGCCTACTGAGGATCCTCGGAGCCGGCTTGCTGGAGTCTTCCCAGACAATATTGCTCGACCTCAGCTTGGGGTCAAGGTCCTTGGTGGACCTGTTAGTGTAAGTGATGACTTCAGTACTCAGCTTCTGTTGAAGAGAGTAGCCAGAACTATAGAGCTTATGGATGCGGTTGCTAAGATTAATGATCCGCAATGTGAGTTGCTACTACTTCGTGCTTGCGCAGGTATTTCTAAGCTCTATTTTGCCATGCGCACTTGCCCCCCTCATGTTTTTAAGGCAGCGCAACATGCTTTTGATTTGGCCCTTCGCGCTAGTTTAGAGCGTATTGTTACCGCTTCTGGACCCGGGTTTGGTGACTGGCAGTGGCGACTTGCCACCTTGCCTCTTTCGTTTGGGGGCCTGGGAGTCTATTGTGCTGGGGATGTTGTAAATTATGCATTCCTGGCGTCCCGACTTCAGTCTGCAGGGTTACAGACTAAGCTTCTTCTTCCTTCTTACTTTGGAGGTGTTTAACAGGGTTGCAGATACTGACTTATTGAGTGCTTCTAGTGAGATTGCTGCCCCCAAATTCATGAAGAAATTGGCAGATATATATTTCACTCGAGTTACCGATTCGGCGGAATCTATATTCTCCTTATCTCCTAGGCAGGTGGCCTTGTGGAAGTCTCAACAGGGTGATCACGCATCAGATTGGCTCCGAACAGTCCCGATTTCTGGGTTAGGACAAACGATGAATGGTAAGACCTACCATGCTGTGCTCTGCTATCGGTTAGGTGTGCCATTATTTTGAATTTCCAGACCATGTTCGGCTTGCTCTCGAGTCTTTGATGGAGATATATATGGCGACCATGCGGTGTCATGTGCCGGTGTTGTTGGCATTAAACATCGCCATAACCCTGTTCGCGATACTCTTTTAG